GTGAAGAATTTTCGTCCGTCGTTGTGATCCGGAGCTCAGTGTTATTTCATTAGCTCAAAATATTTAAATGGTAAGGTTTCTGGACAATTTTCGGGAGAAATGAGATATGTTGTATTCACCATTAAAAAGGTATGGATTTGTAGTGACTCACATTCATCAAGAGAACACGACTGGTTTAATAAAAACAATTATTCTTATAACCAACTGTACCAGTGTTTGTTTTAATGTGCTTTTGTTTGACTGTGCTAATGACAGCTATTTTGTGCTTCCATTCTTCTACTTACACTTTTGATTGTGACTTCGCGCGAATTCCTTTACGTTCTGTAACCTAGCTTGTATCCTGGCACGATCTCGGTATCCTTTCGATGTCACGAGATCGCCAGCGAATATATATCTCGATTTGGTCCATTAACTGTCTTCTGATATTTGGCTTCTCGGGAATCTTGTGGATTTCTTTGGTTACGTTCGACCTTCGCCTTCTGATCTACTTGGCACGTGTTTCTTTGTAGCGGTGTTCATAGTCAACCGCGACTCGACGCCACGCTACAGATTCAATTCCAAGGATGTGTACACAAATCAGATATTACTCTGATGGAAAGGAAATGTTGCGCCACTAAGGATGTCGGTTCATGTCAAGTTTCCAATTAAATATATAAAACACGATTATTAACAAACTAGCTTGAATATTTCACAGGTATTTGTAGTTTCGCAGCACGTTAACCAGATACACCTTCTATATTGAATCGTACCCACACAGTGAAATCAAAAGTCAGAAGCCAGGAGGTTCGAAGATGTATTTGATAAGCTATCAATATATCGAGAAGCAACTAATCTTAACTGGCTAGCGGTTGCAGGAGAAGTTTAACATGGAGTTCCCACTCGTGATCTGGTGTGGATGCATGACCGAGCGCCTTCAGCTAGGTGAGTCCATTAAAACTAATGCAGTCAGCATCCATTGTCGAAGACTTGCAGAGCTATTGATTTTGGGGATTTATTTACCACTACGAGCTATTTTCATACTGGAGTTTTTCTCCCTAAATAAAAACGTGGACAGTTAAAGGTAAAGTTGATGGACCTCTCCGTGATTCATTCATTGATGTTGCTTGTTGTAAAATGTCTGAATGCTCTTTCCAAATCTGCGCAGAAGACTGTTGGTACTTTTGTCTACTATGAAGCCAAACTGGTACGTCTGCCATTCTTGTCATATCAGCAACATCACTAAACGTAACAGTTCCTTAGAAATATCCATTTATTTCACAAGCCCTATTTTTCATCGGCAGACCAAACATTATCCTCACTAAACGTTGATATCACTGAGATTCCACGGCAGATTGATGTTTAAGTAAATGTAGTATTTATGTCTGTTTCAAGGCTTTATCGTTGTCTTAGACCGTGAATAAACTATTGTTACGAAGTTCAGCACATGGTAAGCGAATAAGTATTATTCAGGGGAACTAGTAATCGTGCATTATCAGGATAAAAACATCATTTATACGCGATATACGTAAACGCTTCTGCCGGTAACTTCCTTTGGTGAAAGGATCCTGAAATGATGAGATGCGAAGATATATATGGATAACAGTTGGTGTATCGAGTAGTATGAAAACTAATCTGACTAGTTGTTATAAGGTATGCTCAGCACAGCAAAAGCAAATGATCTGTGGCGGTGCTTGACTGAGCACTTTCAGATCAAGTTGGATCTACTCATTCTAATGATATCAAGGTCAATGCAAAATAATTACGAAGCCATTTATTTTGAAGATTTATTTACCGCTACACATACTTAACAACATACGAAAATACATTGTAAGACGAATCGAGCTCAATAAACTTCAGTTATCCCAAATTTTCAGCATACGTGACAATTTCATACTTAATGTCTTAAAAATACACTTCAATGTGTAAAATAGAAAACGTGATTTAGCTTCGCGGTGAAAATAACCATAATTATTTTTGTCGACTATAAATATTCAGTTAACTTCGTAATGGAATATCTACGAAAAAGATCACAACGTAGACAAACTGTGGTAATTAGAAATATTCTAATTACTGTACGAACTCGGAATCCTAGAAACAGTGAAGTTTAAGTCATAATAAACTAGGCAAGCACAAACGAATATATTGTATTCAGAATTCGAAATCTTGCACACATCGAGTATCGTAGAATCATTAGTTCATACAAACACCACACAAATCCATTTGAAAGGCCAGACTTTAAAAGGAAGGATTGCTTGTATTATCTGACTTAGTATGATAAAATATTCAATCCACTGATTCACAATTATTTCTCAGGACTTATTAAGAAATATAAGAAATAATCAAGGATAATAATATAAAACGAAACACGTCGGATATTCACAGACTGTATTTCAAGCTATACATTAGGTTAGCGTGACAATGTTGAGTTTTAATCAACCCAACGTATTGGGCAACTAAAATTGAATCAACCTCTAGAAATTTCAGCAATTTAAAGAAATATACAGAGTATTCTTAATCATTCACAATCCGTACAAACGAGCTAAGCATATACAACTGATAAAATTTTTAGGAGAAGTCCAGTGATTGATGAGACAGAATCGCCACAAACTATTAAAATGGTCGAACAAAGTATGCACAGTTCTTTTGGTATACTCAAATATGACGAATAACAATACATCGTAACTTGATACACATGTACACCACTAACGTAGATTATCTATGTCGAATGATTGGAGACCTACTCCTGTTAGACAGGAATAGTGTGACGAGCCAGCTAACTTTGATACCACACCTCGCGCTCAGCACCTAACATGGATTATCCCTTCGACATACCAAAATGCTACGGGGCGCTATGAAGAGCGTATAAGACAGAGGACGTTATTACGGAAACATATTAGTAAGAATGAGCACAGAGAAGATAGTGAGAATTTCGTGCTTATATGTAACCCTTGTTCTACTGATAGAAGAAAAAAGACTAGTAGTGAATAGGTCCTTATTTAAACCGCGTGGCAGTCACAGTGGAGCCGAGAATTACCTGTTCAAACACACAAAACTCTTCAACATTCAATAAAACATCATAGGGAATATAATGTCTATACAAAATAAGGAAGTGGATGAATAATTGAACTCTATTGCTTTGACAGATACTTAGTTGTTTGAGGTCGACTCTTAACTAAACAATTTCAAGGACCACCACCGCATGAGTCAGTCCATGGCATACGATTAACTAATGAGCGTTATTTGACCTTGAGCTTGACGGGGTTCTATTAACTGCCTGATATTTAGTGACTCGACTGCTGTATGGTTTGGCTAGGGCTCATTGTTATTTCACTGGCTCTGCAACCCCATCCCATACTTCATAATTTCGTAGTTGACTTCTGATTTTTACACTGACCACAAAATGTGGGTCAGCAGTGTTGGTGGTATAAAGCATTGCAAAGCAACTTGGTAGGAAAGCGACTGCAGTCCGATCAATCTCCAAAGGAGATGATGCGCTACGTAAACTCAGGAATATATTGTTTGCCCCCCCCCCAACACTGATACTTTGGATCGAGGACTGCCATTATCCAAACAACTTCCATGGGAGAAAAGTGGTGGTTAATACGGCCCCATAATGTAGAGACAAAACTAGTCTTAAAGACGGCAAATATTTTCCGCATCTGCTTGTTTCGCTTCACGATCACATCACCCAGGCAACCAGAAGGCCATACATAGGTGTGTTGAAATTTCGTAGGCTGCCACATGCGCATGCTCCCCAAGAAGGCTTAAACCTGTGTAGTCCTCGAGGTGTATGAACGCCATGTAGTTGTAGTACTTAATAATGCACAAGATGTAGTAAATACAACTATGCTAAAGAAATACTCCCAATTACTTCCGTAATATAAATTATTCCTATATATGTACAACTGTTTGACCTTGTCTCGTACTTTTGGCATGTAGGTTTGAAGAATTACGGAATCTATCACCAGGTAAACTATCCCGTTACATCTTTCACACACAATCAATAACCTCTTTACTTCTGGAAAATAACTAAAAATCTATATTAACTCACGAACCCACTGTAAACCTAGGGTTGCGTATGTTCATCAGTAACACTTAAACTACAAAATAAAACAAATGGCTATAAATTTCAGTGATTTTTCCTTATTAATCAGTCTGAGTAAATTGTCCAAAAGATCAGTTTCATCTGAATAACCTCATACTGTACTTGAGATGTCCTTATGAAACTGCTGATACATATCTGAAAAAAACCCAGTATTCTAAACGTTCTTCATACTGGTGTTCGCTGCACTAATCACTTAAGGAAATCTATTTAACAGTAATACAATACCCCCGGACAGTATGAATTGTCAAGTATAGTTCTCTACAGTTAACTGTCTTCGTGTCTCAACTTCATGAATCCTGACAAGTGGAAAATTAATTGTGATCAATTAGTCGCAAGCACTTCCAGGTGTGACTCTTTTATAAACGACCTAAAATACTTTTCGAAAAATCTCGGTGCTTTCAAACTAACTTATTGACTACAGTTTCATTGGTAAATATGAGAGCTGAATATATTACCTATTGACGGTAAAATTATGTACATTTGGACCCACAGAAAGACTTCATTAACAAAGCTAATCATAAAATCCACAGCATAGTTTACTTTGTCTAATAAAGAGCTTAACAATTCTGTCCAGTAGACAATGAAACTAGTTTACCGATTTCGGTACATACGTGAAATAACAGAAGTTCCGGACAAAATTGCGAACATCAATCGTTAGACTCTTCACTCAATTTACAACGACTGGTTCTAAAGTTCAGAATACTGGACAACTATCTATTTTCTACTTTTTTTGAATTAAAATCTTCATGTATATGTTTACGACCAGCATTATGACTAACATCTCTATCCATAAGATTTTTGAAACTGGCACGGCTCAATTAGGCAGTAACTGCAGTAAGTCGAAAAGATACTCCTCTACCCACCTGACCCCCAACGAATGCTTCTCACCAACTATTCTTTATTAAACAAATGAATGAACTCCAATACACTGAGATGTATAAATTTTTAATTTAAAAAAATAAATCATAACACAACATTTTATTAATGCATGAAGTACACATGCGATACACATACGCATGGTAGGTAGATAGGATTAATAAATCCCCTTATAGTTCAAAGTTAGCAAAACATTTATATAGTTTGTTCACTTTACACCTTTTGATTAATTTTGATAAGAAAAGTGTAGTATCATGAAGATCTGGAAGAGAAAATAGTTAAACAGAAGGGAAAAACAAAGTCAACTATATTTACATGTTAAATAGCAATGTTCTTTTTTTATAAATAATTAACATCACTTTAAAGAAAAAAAACTGCAGATTATATTGATCATGTTCATGAAAAAAAGAGCTTAATATTTATTTCATTAAATCGACATTCGACAGAGAATGAACTCGTACATTTCATTATAGATAGTAATTACTTTAAAGGTGCTATTATCAGTTTACTGTTACGAAATTTGAAGACGATTAAACAGATCAGAATTATTAATTTCTGATCTATTTGAGAGTAAACCAGAGAAATGTGCTTAGATATATCTAACGTTCAAAAATAAACTCATGAAGAAAAAACATAATAAAAACAAAATTTGTCATACAGCTTAAATAACTTGTTTGTCGAGCAAATACCGCATGCATGTAACAAGATTTCGGCAATCAACTTTCATATTTCCGATAAATTCCAAGCTAGTATCATGGATTAATTCGCAATAACTGAATCAAAAAGCCTAATCTGCTATGTATATCAATATCAGAGCTGCAATCATAGTGAAGTTAACTAATTTTAAAATCCTGAAACTTTCACGTATCTGTCTGTTCTGTCATATAGCTAACCAATATGAACTCCAAACTTTTTTACGAGTAAAACTAACCCCCACGTTATTATGTTAACTACACTCATGTAAAAGTATAAAACATATGCACCATACAAGAACACACATACTGCTACATAAAAGGGCAGTGAGTCAGTCTTAAGTGAGTAAGTAACTTCTGCCGTTGGTCAATAAAAATTAGTCAACTACATCAAGTGCAAGAAGCTGAAAGTACCTTTCTCAGTGCCAAAATTTTTATTTTAAGTTGTACATTATTTACAAATGAAAAGCGAAATTAATGCAACGGTAATACTTACCTCGGATTTAGACCCGAAGCAACAAGACTGGCGGCGGCAGCAAGCCTGGCATGTACGCTATCGAAAGTACTGCTGGATACACCAGGGATACAACCGCTGGTTGCAGGTGAGGGGGAACTGACTGTCTGGCCTCCTGAGCCTGAAGTAGAATTATTAGTACAATTGCCTGAGGTTGCACTCGTTGAAGACCCAGTCGTTGTACCTCCTAAGGATCCGGTTACGCCAGCCAAAGATGCAGCGTGAGGAGGAGGGAGAGGAAGGCCTAAACCAGCGGCTAATCCGGGAGGAAAGAAGTTGGCGTACGCTGAGACAGGAGGAAGGCCAGCTAGATGGGCTGCGGCGGCCGCAGCAACGGCAGGAGGGGGAGGGAGGGCTGGGATTGTTGTTGGACCACCACTGTTGGTGAGAATACCTCCACCACCGGCATTTGACAGACCTATCCCTGATCCACCAATTAGGTTAGCAGGGAAGGGGAGACTGTTAGCACCTACCCCAAGACCACAACCTCCACCCGCGGCAGAAGAGAAAAGACCTGCTGAGAGACCGAACGCGGCAGCTGCAGCTGCTGGATGCAAACCACGTGCGGCGTTTTCTAATCCTGAAGCCACACTACTATTGAGGGCATTAACACCAGGTATACCTGCTCCAAGAGACAGATGATTGTTATTAACCAGGGGATTATTACTGATATTATTGGATAGACTATTGTTGGAACAACCGTGAGAAAATAATGACGAACCACCATTGGGCATAAATTCTTTGTTGACGCAGTTTCGAAGACAGTCTGGTATGCGATTTAAAATAGCTCTTCGGATTTCATTTGCAGCTGCCTCGCGCATTTCACGCATACTTGATTCACTGTAAAATGCCATATGAGGTGTTACAATAAGATTTGGAGCATCTTTTAAAGCACCTGTAATAATAAAATATTTACATAAAATGAACTCAAAATTTACTTCAGTTTGAAGTAGAATGAATTTTCAAAGTTGACAGAAATTTAGATCGAACACAATTACACACTTTATTCTTAGATTCTAGTACATTACATTCACGTATGTTTACGACCTTTTCCAGCCCAATTCGCAAGAAACAGTTTTATTCTGTTAGACACATATAATACTATTGTTTATTCGTATACATCAAATAGTCTAGTTTTGATTCAAGATAGTCCCTATCGTAATAAACATTTCAGGAATAAAATTGGCAATTCGGAAGTAGGTCGTTATCCGGACAGTCTAACAGCAATATTTCAGACTTCACTGGATGATTTACATCCACATAAGAGACAGAATAGGTATTCCTTGTTGAAATGTGAAGTGAAGAAGTGTCTCAGTGAGTAGGGTATTCGACTTTCAATCACTAAGATGGAGGTTTGAACTTCGGTTCGTTCACCTTGATTTAAACAGTCGAGTAGCATCACAATCTCTCGAACTTTAAGCACGGTTCAAAGCCGATTACACGTATCTGTACTACGTAAAATGAACTAAATAGCTCATAGTTCATAGCTTGGTGCCGATTACTCCCAATACTCCAACAACATATACAACCGGTTTATTATGACATAATAAAACAACACAATTTCCAAAAACCTATCACTGATATAAAGCATTGGATCAGTCATTATTTTTGACATTAATTTAACTGCAGAAGTCTCAACAATACATGTATTATATCAAATTATATAGCAAAAAACTTACTATTACTCCAAACAAATGGTTCTGTCTCTGTTACATCCAATGCTGCAGCACGTATTCGACCTTCCTTAAGTGCAGCAGCAAGGGCTACTTCATCAATTAAACCACCTCGAGCAGTATTGATTAAAAATGCACCTAAAAAGGGAACAAGGTTTAGGCAATTGCTCGACTGATAAGTAAAATATTAACAAGTGATTATAAACAAAGATGGATAGTGGCTAGCAGTGGAATCCAGGACGCGCGTTTCGTACTGTTTGGGACTCGTCAGCTGGATGTGCCTGCATCTCAGAGTTGATGTTCACTCTGGGACTAGAACTCAGTACCGTTCGCTTCAAACGCCATCGCGTTATCCACTTAGCTACTGAGTCCTGATAGCCACTTGCTTGTGCAATGGGTTGAAGTTTAATTCACTTGATATTGTTTTACTGATCAATTTCAGTCCGAAACAATATCAAGTGTATTAACAAGTGAGTTTAGAAAGTAATTGCCTTTTTATCACCTTTTCTTTTTCTATCATCAAATTCAGACTGATAATTAAAATTTAGTTATTGCGGTGCATTGTTAATCTGGTAGTGAATTGTAAATAGTTTAGAAATTCAGTCAGCGCATCTGAGAAATATATGGAACGGATAATGTCCTCACACTATATAAGCACGGTGGGATGAAATTATTAGAACAAATCCCAGATGAGTAGTAGTAACACAACCAGTAGTTGTAATGTAGTGAACAGAACACGGGTAGGGACAATCGAATGTATTTAGTACGAAATTACAGAGTTACTTGGTAAAATAGAAAAACCATATAGTAAATCGTTAATTTGCAAAATATCAATCCATCATATCAACCTGGGATGTTCCTGTTGCAAACATCAATCCATTGTCTCACATTTCATTGTTCATGCGTTTTCTCACAAATTGCATTGTGTTCTCGCTCTTCCTTTCTTGATATTCCCCCATCTTCTGCTGCCCGACATTACGTTTTTAACTCGAGTCATATACTACTTACATCAATATAAGTAGCACGCGCCACGGTAGTGGTAGCAATAATAGTGGTAAATGACTGATTGTAAATGATTGGTTCACACTGACTGTGTAACCCCGTTTGAACTAAATGAGCTAGGATAGAACTATTGATTGTTTTAACTACTAGTTAGCTTGGACACTCTGGAAAGTGTTCGCGAGCAAGGAAAAGTACATTCCTAAAACATTTCCCAGTGCAACTTGTTCTATAGGAGTTGAGTGAATCTATACAAGGAAGGTGACTTCAGTATAGTTTGATATGATGCAAAATTATAGAAGTCTGTTTTCAAATGTAAACTGACTAATATGTTATCACGATCAACAAAATTAGTTATTTATCTTTCATCTGGGTTTACAAATAAATCACTTTAAAAGCAAAACAACAATCAAGAAATGATTGTTCATATTATGACGGTAAAAAATATGAAACTTATTTTCTGAATGAAGCCAAATATTTGAAAAGAATACGCAGAAATTATTAATTATTAAAAGTAATACTATATTATGTTATCTCTAATATAAATGATAATTGATACTTCCATTTTGAAAATCATACATTCATCTACATATTTGAGCACATATCGACTTAGCCAGTTACAATGTACTGCGGCACTTTTCATTTAAATATATATATATACTATTGAAAGATAAAGTTGATTTAATAGGATTTATTTAAAATTTATTGCATTTAGTTTGATTTCATTTAGTAACTTTTTTTAAATCCTGTAAATCAGGATTAAATCACGATATGCTACAAAAAATAATTTATTTGCACTGTATATTTAACTTTTTAGAATACATCTACATTCAATGGTTGTAGTTGCCTGAACGAAATCTTTCAGTCCATCATCCAGCATCCAATCGTTGAATTTTGATCTTATTTACTATAATAATTTTTTTTAATGAATTGTTGATATACTATATATATATTCATAATATCGATGTCGTTGGGTTCTCTGAGCTAGACAGTTTAACTGCGATACTTCCATTGTCACTCAAAACCACATCATTAGCTCATACTTCATGTAGAAATGAGCTTTATAGTTAACCCAAGAGTTATAAATCAGTTCGTTCCGTTGCCCTTGTTTGTGATTGGTTATTGTCATAGGCTGTTTTCAATATTTTCATTTGTCCCTGCATTCAAATCGACTATCTTTTTGTCCATCTCTGACCATGTCAATTGACATTCTTCGAATGGGTTGACAAATTAGGTCTAATTCGACGTGCCCGTTAAATTGCTAATTGATCTGAACGTCATGATTCCAGAAATTCCTTGACATTACTGGAATGCTTTCGATTAAGAATTCTGATGTATTCCCAGTTGGATTTATGCCCGTCGTTGTCTACATCAACTTATATCAATAAAAGGTTTAAAATAAAATTATCTAGCGCAGAGAAATTTAAAACACAAAAATTATTCAACTGAGCTGAAAAATATACACATCATTTCAACATCTATATTGTGAATATCTTACCCGGTCTCATTAACTTTATTGTATGCTCATTGATCATATGGCGATTTTGCTCATTAAGTGAGCAATGCAAAGTGACACAATCACTTTGAAATAGTAGATCTTGAAGACTGTAAACACGTTCGATACCCAATGATCGTTCGATCCCATCTGGAAGATAAGGATCATAAAATGTCACATGAAATCCAAAAGCTTGGGCTCGTAATGCAACAGCTGTTCCAACTCGGCCTAGAAGTAAGCAAAAACAAATAGATATGGATAGATAGACCGATTAACACGTATACAACTAAAAGTGTTAAACCTACGTAAATATCTAAACCGCTGTAAAAAAATATGTGCATCCAGACAAGACACAGTTGAAATCCTCTGAAAACAATAACGATAAATCAAATAAAAATTATTTAGATTAACACAGAAGTTTCACTTCTGGATGCATTTCAATGGTGAACGATTACACATGATATTACAGATCAAACAATACTAGAAATATTGTTATGCTACAAGAATGAAACATAAGAAACGCATAATTAATAATCTGTATTCTTTATACTAAAAATGGATGGTCAATTATTATTCCATTCACGTGTTAAATAGTTACTGCAATGAGTATAGATTAGGCATGATTAATCAACATATACATCGATATAAAAGTAGTTTTGAAAGCAATTACGTACCCAAACAATAACATCTTTATTGAAACAATTCGCTGTTTTTACTCACTATTTCTAAAATTAGCGAATTTTTGATGAATCTATAGGACGATATAAATGAGGTTGATGGGGAACTAAATATTTGTAACAAAAGTTGAGGCAATGATCTATCAATATCTGAATCTTGCTATGATTCAGATTTTTGTTTAACTTATAGTCATCATGATCACTACAAGACAAAAACCACTCAATCAAACAAGACTGTATCTACTACAGATAGTGCATCGATTTAGATAATTACGTTATGTAATGGTAAGGTAAATAATAATAATTTAAAAATACTAAACTTTACAAAGATTTAAGTGGAAATGGAACAATAAGTGCAAAGTTACATGTTTAATACAAACAGAAAAAAACACAGTAAATCCGTTTACAGCATTGTCAGTAATTTTAAATGTTATTAAGGAATTTAAACTACTTGTATTCATCATGAGAAAGACCCCTAAGAAGGTAACAACGTGAAATGTTAATAATTCTGTATTATATGCTTATACATCGAATGATTACATTTATTGTAGTGTTCACACTGAGATAACAGCAAAAGTAACACAACTAGGAACTTGTGTATTACTCGGAAGGCTTAACGGAATACAAAAAGCCTATCTGTTTAGAAGACTGAAAGCATGCAGAGAAAGATGTCATCATGTTTCAACAAGCAATAAAAAAGTTAGCTTGAAATATCACCATAATACATCAAAATCAGTTGATATACATTGGCTTTTAAAACGATTTTATGAGAAAGAGTAGGAAAAGACATCTAACAGACGTTTGATAAGTAAATGCACACAACACAGTTGATTTGTCCATCCATGTGTTTGTTTTCAATTAGATTTATTTGATCTGCCTAGGTATAGCTGTGATAACCATGTATTAAGCGGTATAATACAAAATAAGATTGGCAACCCAAAATCATCCAGCTGCAGCTTACATTCAGTCACATTCACGTATATAGTGCATTCGTACTTTCAATCAATACTCAACAAATACCCCGAACCTACTCAAACAATAATAAAATTACAATATATAATCAGTAATGAAGTACACCTTATCTCGACAAGGCAACCTGTATTCTCAAAACCACGCCGACTAGCTCCAAAAAATCTAAGAATGACGAAATAGGGATTCTACTAAATATTGAATTTCGGAATCTTCATATATACTTTCTTCCAGTACGACATGAAATGAGGATAAAGACAATTGGAGAGTAAAATTGTACTCAGTTATTGATTATCTATATTCACCATATGGCACCGTAATATAAAAGTAGATACACGAATGCTGGGCTAATAGAAATGTTAACTAACGATTAACTTCTAGCTAGGAACATAAAACTGGTCTCACGACCCTATCACATAGAATTTAGCTTAACAGACGATCGATAATTTTCCTGACCTTGTTAATGCCAACGGACACTTTTAGCTGAAAACGTTCAGCTAAGCATCCTTACAATTTCCAGGCACGCAACACGTGGGATGCCTTTCTCATCCTCTAGGTACCATATTCGTCTACCATTATCTGTAATCAAACATATGACTCTCGTTTTCAGCCCCTGCTTCGGTTTGGTCACCCGGGTAGTATCACAGGCCACACACAAATCAAGTGACTTGTATGGCGCATATGTATTCGTTACCCCTTTGTACCAATATTTATGTTCAAATAAAATAAAATAAATCGTTTTCAGTATTAGTTGTTCAAATATTTGGTAACAGCATTATTAAATTATTCCGTATCAAGTCATTCAACAGGAAAGTTCCCCCACAAGACGGTGAAATATTAAGCCAAAAAGCATTTTTGTGACTAGTTATTCATGCTATCTCCCTTTGTCTACCAAAAAAACGTACTTTATGAGGTCAATGGTTAGTATGATTATCGACGAAGCTGAGTAATTCTTTGTGATAATAACTATAACTCCAGCCAAGACACTTCCAAGATTAATCAAGCTGTTGCAAAAGTTCAGGTATTTTAATATTCAACTAAGTCTAAATAAATGTTTATTTCCTTAATATTATTAGCATGAAGCCACGAGTTTAGAGCAAAGAAAACAGCGCTTTACTAGAGTTTTCCTTGAAAAATCTCCAAAAGTAAATAAGATTTAGTCTTGACAAGCAAACCGAACTAATGTACCGCTTATTCTGATGCTAGATTGATTTAATTTCCATACTGAATATCTAAATGACTGAATCTACCTCACAGTTCAGGTGAATATCTAGATACTAGTCTACTCTGAATTTATGAGGGTTAAATGTAAGTGATTTCCTATTCAAACCACAGTAAATCCAGAGATTTAAGTGTAATTGAATCTCAGAAACCTTATGCGAAAATATTGGACTGGACTGATAACCCTAGCGACAAGCCAACTACACTACGATCAGTTGAACCCGGATAAGCATGGTTTTTATATCAGTCAGTCGGCTACAACGTATTTATTGTTGAGTTGGTCTCTTCAAACACATTTGGAGCCTCCAAGTATTTTACGAACACAATAAGGTATTTGGTTTATCGGAAAAGGTGTGATGTTTCGATTTATCTGTTACACCGAACAAGTAGAACTTCCATGTCTGAAACAAGCGTGTATCGAGGCAAATACAGTTGAAAATAGTATATGAAATTTTTGAAGATTGTTCAGTTTCAAGATAGTTTACATTATCGGTTGGTTTCAGAACGAAAACTATCGAAAACCAAAAAATTAGGCAGTTAGCCACAACCCAAGGATAACCTAGTACAATGTCCATTGGTTCAAGTTCAGTCAGTCAGCTATAACATAGGACCAGGCGCATATACACGTCGGTCAAAGTTGCCATACCTCATTAGCACAACAAGATGAACATCAAATTCATAGAAGCAGTTACTTCAATGGTAGTAATATATAAAAGAAAGATTGCATACAAAGATATGATGCTGGGAGAAAGAATTAGTTCGTAGAAAGAAAGGTATAAAGTAATTTTAATATCACGGTTTGAGAGAAGACAAAGAGTGTATACTTATATGCCGCTGTGGTCGATTCCGAGCCATGTCACCCAGTCTCCAACCACTGGTTACGATAGTCAAGCGGACCGCAACCAATTAGTCTGCATCTACCAACATGGCTCAGACCAGAAGTTAGTGACTTTGTGGACTGATGCCTCGTTCTGGTTTGACCACCCTAACTTTCTTCTAACCGTCTCGAGCACTAGTCAGCATTGCGCGTCGTGGTAATCGGTGTTCAGGCATACGCAACACATGGCCCAACAATCTCAGTCGATGAACATTCACAACCTCACCAACTGATTTACCATCATTCCCTGATACCATGCGTCTAACCCCGCTATTACTTACCCGGTAATCTCAGCAGATGAGAGCAATATTTCTAAGGCATCTGTGGTCAAATACTAGTAGCTTACGAGTATCTTCAACTCTTAATGGCCATGTTTTGCAGCCGTAAAGTAAAACAAAACGACCTGCCGCGTAGTATACTCGTCCCTTAATTGATAGACGGATATCTCGACTTCGCTATAGGTGTCGTAAGTTGGCAAAAGTCAAACGAGCTTTTAGAATCCGTGTTGAGATGTCGTCAGGCACCAACTCATTAGAACTGATCAGATTTCCAGAATAAGTGAAGTTGTCGATGCACTTCACTCTCTATCATTAGTTGAAGTTTTGATGTAGGCCAGTCCTGAAGCAACAATTTGCACTTAGAGGGGGAGAAACACATCCCAAACATCCTGGTATTGTTGATCAGTGTTACCAAAAAACTGCATTTTATCAGCGTCTTCACTAAACAGGACTATATCATGTGTATTCCAAGTCAATAAGTGTGCCTTCTGGTAGGAGATCAATCCCCGAAAATTCAGTCGACGAGAAAGTTGTTCCCAGAAGTAGGTGTATGATGAAATTGAACAAAAATGAAGATAGTAAACAGCCTTGCCGAACACCACTTGAGGTTGCGAAATCAGTTCGTCATAAGCTTGACAGGTAGTGTTCGAGTTCAAGTTGCCACACCACGTCAACCCAGAGATGAAATTATCAAGATGAATTGCAATGTAGTAGCAGATTAAGAATACAGAGAAATAGTTGACTTAAGAAAAATGGATTCGGGATTTATAATATATAAAAGTCTTGAGACTTAGGACCTAGGAAAAAACAAAGAGTAAACGTATCTGTCTCATTATGACTGACTCTGCACCATGTCATCCAAAGTCAAGCAATAATAATCTCACAAAAGCCAACCTCGTAAGCTGTACATATTAACATGACGCACATTAAGTCATGGACAGATGCCACTCTTTGATTTGGTGACCCCTACTTATCATCCAACCTCTTAAACCAATCAACATCCCGCGTTGAGGCAGGAAGCGATACATATCGTAATCGCCTCTGTCGACGAAAAATCACAATATTTTCAACCGAATTCAGTTTTTGGATAGTATTCTGCGTTTGACCTCAAAACTGCTCACTTAATGGTCTAAAACAAGACTAGTAATGCCTCGAGGATACCTATAACCAAACAGTAATAACCTATGGATATCCGCTGTTTTTGAAGTCCATGTTTTACAGCCATAAAGGAAAGACAGAGAGGACTATTGCGTAGTATACTAAACCTATAGCTGGGAAACAGACATCTCACCTACGCCTTAAGTGATGCAAACTGCCAAAAACCAACTGAGCTTTCTGAGTCGGTGCCGAGATTTCGTTAGCCATCAACCTACTAGGACTAGTGAGACATCCAAGATAAGTGAAGTGATTACCATCCGTAGTTCAAGCGCTGATCCATACCAGTAGCGAAGTGACATTTTGCAACACAACTAGACATCATTTTATTAGCGTATTCATCAAACAGGACTGTTATTTAAGTATCCTAAGTCGAAGAATGAATCATCTAGCAAGTGATTAATTCCTGAAAAGTTGGAAGAAAGCGTTATCTCTAAAAGTGTGTAATCAACGAAATTAGATATGATTGAGTGAAGCAAGTAACCCAGACAAACACTAATTGAGATTCGCAGTTCCAACAAGAGTTCTTCATAAGCTCTGACTCAAAAAATAGTATTCAAGTAGAGTCCTCACAAGGTTTATGTACTTTTTTGGTACATCCAATGATAAACACTGTCAAAGAAACTCTGCAAACGGAGCCGAATGATGCTTAAAAGTTCAGAAATGCCTCTACTGTCAAGAGCCAGAAAGTATTCTTCTGTCCCAGAACGTGACAAGGGGTGAATACTTGGTAACACACCCACTTCCAGGTTTGAAACCACTCTGGTTTTCCCAAGTTTGCTGTTACCAAGCCCCAGATAAAGGAACGGGTAATTATAGAGGGCAACAAATTGGTCAAATCGGTTCCTGTATGACTATCACAAGAGGACTTTTGTCCTTTTTATAATCCGGTACGATCAGCGAACGACACCAGTCAAATTGGATTACGTTCAACTCCCAAACTAACTAATTATTGCTTTAATAGAAGCAGAGAATTTGCATACATTAGAAATGCTTCTTGCTTAATAGATCATATCCATCAAAAAGTCATACTGTGGTGTACAAATATACTAGCTAAGACCATTCTTTTATGTAAGTAGGAAAAGGCCTTATGAATAAGATTTCTTGGAGTTAAATCAATTTTCATACGACGAATTCCAGAAAGCACAGTCAGCTGAATTACAACCTGAAACAAACATGTATATGAGAAGAGCAGTGGCTTAGTGATAAAAAGTACCTAGTCATTATTTTGAATCCCGGCCCACCTACTCCAGTTTTTGTTTCCCCAGAAGCATATACAGTTAGGATCACCATATCGAGAAGAGGAAAAAACAAGACGAAGAAAAGGGTAGTATATATATATACAGAATGCAGTTCAAAACAACTAGATGAAATTAAGAAACGATGAGTGTAAAATAACATCAAAACTCAAAATTCAGACGTCAAAGAATAAATACATCTGCCTGATTACAAATGATTCTGATCCCTATAACACAAGGCCACGATTTCAAGCCATAACTAAAACAAGAAACTCTAGAAACTTTAGCGTCATGTTCGATCTCACCCACTGAAGATGCAAACCCACGAACTCACAACTCATAAATATTTTAAGTGGATGAAAGTAGTATAAAATGTCCATCACATATTACTTCAAGATTTGCAGTAATCTCAGAACCTATAGCGAGAAATCATACCAAGTAGACATCTAACGGTTTATCGAGGTTACCTTGCACTTGAAAATCTTCCTAGGAATCTATAGGAAATCATATCTAGATAATGCAGGCGACCGGGTAATTACAAGTATTCGATTATGGCTAGTTTCAAGTCCTCACATATCGTGAGAATACCGAGCGAATGATGTTGAAATCGTGTGACGCAAGATACAGTAAACCAGTTTGATGAGGTAGCAAAAAGATTAGTAACAGACGTATTACATGCAACAGCATTCAAGTGATTTATTTCAGAATAAGAAAAAGCCACCTGGAGATATATGATTTAGAACCAAACGAAGGACAACTGGTTAGTAAAGCAATGGTACAATGAGAAGTTTAATCGAACCAAGGGAAAACTAGCTGAATGTGACAATCCTTTTAATTAGACTAAGAATATTAACGATCATGAAACAAAAAATAATAATGCTCAGCACATGAAGGATGAAAACAGAATGCACCTGGAAAACGCACCATATACAAACAGACTTATTTCAATAGTCTTAGTCAAAACTATGTCCCACACCATTAACTAATAGTAAGTAACTTCAATTTGAATGCATCATGATGATCCCTCTACACTATTCATGCACTAAAGTTCGTTAGACGTTAGAGAACAAGTTGACTCCAGCTCTTTCGGCTTTATGTTGCAATACAGAAAATGGTGAAATGTACAAGTATGAATACAACTTTTCATATATTTAACTGCACGATGAACATAATCATTCAAACAAGCTTTGAAATTGTTACTGAGTCATTTCAGGTTTCAGCTATCTTTGATATCTTAATAAAGAGCTACGCAGTGCAAATACAACAACTAAGTACTTAAATGGACTAAAGATCTACAAATAGATAGACTAATCAGCAGTTTTGTCATTTTAAACGATATCATTAAAGGCTTACCTAAACCAACTATCCCAAGAGTATCACGTCGTATTCGAGCAGACCCGTTTGCAACTTCCTTTAAATGCTCAGGTCCATTAATCCGTTTGCCCATTTGCAGGCTGTTTGCTAACCAATAAGTACGTCGGTATAAGGTCAGAATGTGGCAAAGTGTCGTATCTGCAGACTCCTCAACACCAAATCCAGGAACATTACAAACAGCAATCCCAAGTTCCCCAGCGGCTTTTATGTCAATGTTGTCATAACCGCTGAAAAGGAATATTAATTTATAGGTAGAATTAGTAACATATGTATAGAAATAATATTACCAACGAACCAAGAATTCTTGGTGGAGTTTTGTTCTCTGAGCTCCACAAACAAACCATCTAGCTCAAAGAACATAATTCCATCAAAATCATCCACGTAAGCTACAAATCTTCTCCACCATCTCAAAACCAAGAATTCAGAATTTCGATAAACCATATATATGCAAATAAACATAAACCCACCTGCCAATCCTCACGATAATCTTTAGTGATTTGAATTTCTGAAGGTCCTCGCGCGTTAAAGAAATGGTATGCCACATTAAAGCCCCAACAGCTTCTTCAAGGACTTTACCATGAATTTCACTGGTGGATGAAGCATCGCAGAAAGCAACTGTGGCCACATCTTTTAACAAGGGCATTTCAATAGTGCAGTCACGACCATCAAGCAATGCAACAAGTGGTTTCGCTGGTGGAGGTCCATTAGAAGAACGATGAAGTGACATTAGAAATCCTCAGTTAATTATAGAAGTTATCAATCCAATATAATAATGTTTAAGCTAACAGTTAATTTTAACAAATTAATGCGAGTAGGAGGACACGAGAACAGTGACGCAGCAGAATGACAGGCGAAGTGATATTTTCATTTTCAAGTAAATCTCTAATTTGCCGAGGGTCTTTAACATATATGTTAATGAGCCATGTGGTCTACCCCCTATTTTGATTGTTCTGCCGCCTAAAAGCATTAGCAAATCGAAGTCACGCAAATTGTTAGGGTGTGTGAACATCTACCAGAGCAAAACTCAATTGGATGTTTATGATTTCCACATCATTAGGAGAATATTGGTTAGTCATCTTACTATTTAAACACAAGTATACGGTTCTCGCTCTCCCCTCTTGTAGTGGTGTTGACCTTCCGAGTTATCGATTTTCGTACCCAGAACAACCACAAAGCAATATTTATTGTTTGTTAGTCGCATTTCGGTCTAATGCGTTAATGGAGGTTAGTGATAACAAAATTTTAATGTGGTGTGTCTGCCCTCATCACTTGCATCACATGTATTTTATATGCCCGGTATAAATGAGAGAGACGAAAATTAACACTAGAGTGATAATTATTATTTTTTACCTAATCGCATTATGTGACCTGAGATTGTTGTTTATTTAACGCAGTTATTGATAAACAAGAACTTTTATTTGCAACTTAATAAAATATCTTAGTATAGCAACCATATTCGAGGAGTAGAAAATTTTATAAGCCCGTAAACTCTGATTTTCATTAAACAAGATAGATAAAACAGATGTATGAGGAGTCCCACAATAGGACGAAACGGCCGTCCAGTGCTTCCAGGTTTCCAACGGTGGTATAACATCAGTCGGTTCATGATCTTAATCAAAAACTAAATAAAAAAGATTGGTTCAGCGAATAGTTCTCTTTTCGGCGAATTCATTTTTAAAGCTGTACACGCGGAAATATATACTTATTTTTCAGGATGACGATTATAATAATAATGATAATAAACTTCTGTTAGACATAGTAACAGTAAGGTAGAATAAACAAAGATATTCGAAATTCCTTTTTTAAGCCGGGAAACTAATAATAGTTTGATTGTCAAGGGCTTAAATATTCATCATAATGATAGATAGGGAAACCATTATTGGGAAAGGATGGCTCAGCATGATAAGGTTGTACAGCTTTGAAAATGAATTCGCCGAAAAGATAACTCTTCGCTGAACCCATCTTTCTTATGTAATGTCTCAATGGGTGTATTCCGTTTATTAAATGTACAAATCACTACTTAATTTAAATTTGACATCAACAACTAACATCACCTGAAGAACTCCTAGAATGCAAGTATTGGTGAACAATCGCTCCATTTAATTACCGATCGTCTCAAAATGTGTTTTGCGCTAATTTGAAACAAACAACAGTTCCTTCTTAGTTCTAAATCTTTCTCCTGCTGATGGATACATACATACTTACTTTGTTCGCTTTCTAGTCCACAATATGGTGGAGGAAACTCATAATCTATCTTTATTCCATGCTCAAAAATATTTGTTCATCAGTTTTACCAACAAAGTATCACGATACATTTGACCCAGTGGTTCATGACAAACTATTATTCAGTGTGATTAAAATGATTTGCATTAAGTAATTTGATCACAACAGAACAATTGAGGAATGACACGCATCAGTATTAATTTTTTTATCGTTAGTGTATAACGTTTAACTGAATCAATTAATGATCAAACAAACAAAAGCACTCAAACGAAATTCAATGCCCAGGTGTTTATCTTAGTTATAGAAAAAAACAACTAACCATCTCAATACTATTGTAGAGTATTCCTGTTTATATCTTTTATCACTACATTTTAAGAAACTTGACAGTATTTTAATGGTAACTACAATATGACATATTTTGTGGATTTAAACAGTTGGATTATTATTTATGTACAGTTAACTGAAAAATATATAATTTTCAATTTAATATTAATCCTTCACTGTTTTTTGTTGTAATATACACTAAGTATTTTTATAAGCATTTTATAAGCAGTTTGTTTTACTTCCATTACTTATACAAGGAAGTGAATTGATCAATTCGTAAGATCCCTAATATTTGACTATGACAATTAGAAGTATTCGAATTAATGTACTAACTAAGAATTCTTAAAATAGTGCAATTTAAGTTAGGTGGAACTAAATGAGCACAAATGAATGCATTATACTTGGAATTCGTAATCAGAGGGCAATCAAGCACAAAGGAATCATTAGTTCGTACAAATACCGCATTAACCCAATAAGTAAATTGATTTATTTGAGCGTTGAATAGATAGAGAGAGAAAGAAGAGAGGTTATTCAGGTACTTCCTGTTCATTTCAATTGATAGTGTCCATTAAAAACTGACCATCAAACAATTACTGAAACTTAAGAAGCACTGAACAGTTGTTTTCTTCTAGCATAGGACTCTCCAGCAGTGGGCATACATGAATTTGCAGAGAATCAAACTTAGGAGCATTTAAGTATTGCGACGAACAATTAACGTTTAGACAGTTGAATCAGTATCCAATGATTAACACTTATAGCTTCAATTAATACTCGAGGTGGCTCAATCATCGTTCAGTGCCGTTGCTGCGTAACAATTACACATCGGACATTATTGAACTCTCATTTGATTTCAATATTTAACATTAATTTATCGATTTAACAAAGTAGTATTCCCGCCCTAATAATAGTGTTAACATAAACTATTATGTAAATCCAAGTTATAAATTTCTCGTATTGATTGGTGCTTTTTGCCTACTTATCAGTTCAGATAACCTAACATAAGCTTGAGAGTCACTGAAAACATGGGAGCTTTGTATAAGTGTTGCATACAACTTTCGGGAATGGAAAATAACTTACGCTGACAACCAAACTAGGATATGAGCCAAGACATTTAAGCCTTACAACAAGAATGATGCACTCTAAGCGGTGATTCTGAGTTCCTTGGTCCACATGTTCGTCTGATTTTTAGACAATATAACTATATTTTTACCCAGCGTCATAGGTAATTCACAGGTAGTGTCTTGGTTTCGAGATAATTCCTTAGGCTTCGTTTATCAGTCACCCTGATAATGGTTATTAAATAAATCTCAACAGTGTATGAATTCACAGAGCAATAGAAAGCGGTGACTACAGTTTATTATTGGATAGCACATATGACAAAGTTACAAGCACAACGAACGAATTTGAGCATAAAGGTCAATGCACTCAAGTAAGTAATACGTAGGCGGATTCAGAGTCAAACTGAATAAAGGCGAAGCGAAGCAAGGCAAAACAATTAATAAGATTCAAGCATATCTATGTATAGGCGATCAGCATTTAAGTTGGAGAGAGATATGTGATCAACATATACGTTTATATAAACATAATAATGATCATAATAATACAAAGACATAGATAAATTATTACTATTCGAATAACACTGTTTGTTAAATATGTTAATTAAAGGGCTTGACAAAATTAATTGTGGGAGGGTTGCTATACTCATCCTGATGTGGTTAACTCAAATCATTCAAAATCAGTCAATTGTAAGTAGTCAGTGTACTTTCTAGTTAAGGTCAATCCATGATAAAAACAAATTTATGACTGCATAACAAGGGTTATAAATTAATATAATAAAATTTTTTGTTATAACTAGGTTATTTGACCTCAGATTTTTTAGCAGTTAGGTTTCTACTATCATACAACTTCTATTTTCTGGTTAGACCCATCTTGAATCCTTTCTGTACAGTTAATAAAACTTCTGGTAGAAAGTGACGCACTTTTATTCAGTTTTTCCATTTTTTGTATTCAAAGTACTGTACGTAAACCCCTTTCAGAACATAGATATATAGTTTTTTAAATGTATTTCAGGTAAATCTTCACACATCATCCTTTAATTCATAAATAATTGCAAATTGTTGCTTGTTTCTCACAACAAAATTTGTCTTGCTTCTTATCATTTTTACATTTTTTCCCACAGAATTTTTGTGAATGGAAATAACCAATATCAAAATTCACCGGCAATTACTATGTCTAAGTTTAAAAATTAAGTCTCGGAAAATTAATCACAAGAAAAAAACCTACGATCGATTAGTACTTTTGACTAATAGAAAGCACAGTACTCAGACTATGTATAAACGTAAAACAATATTTGAGTGTGTTTTGAATGAGATATTAATAGTCTCAATGTATAACGGTAAATATTAATACACTTGGGGTGGAAATACCGTCATGGTTGTTCGTCTTCCACCACACGTTTAAAAAAAATGTTTGACAGATTGATTTCTTATTGCTATGATCAAAAAGACACCTTTTTCATAATATTCTATTGATCACGTTTCCGTGTCACTTGTGATGCTGGAGAGAGGATATCCTTCCACTCTTTGAAATGAACCATTTTAACCAATATACATTCCTAAAATTAAAAATGTTGGAGATCATTTAGTTTGTAGATTCCTTAAAGCATTTAAAGCCAAGAAACGTTGGACAATTCTTACTGTCCTAGTATAAAAAACGAAGCATTATGCATCAAAGACTTCACTTAAAGTCAAACCAAGGACATTCGAGATTCTTGACATATAAGTTACCATTAGGCCACCGAGTTTGGGATTCTATAGTTAGCATATTGAAGTCCAGTCAATTATCAGTGTTCCACAACTGTCATATATGCAAATATTGATAATTAAATATCAAAAAAGTTACTGACAAAGTAATCTGACAATTACACATTAACAACGCCCAAATAATTTCTCCTCAAATACTCCCAAATAAGTAATAAACTGCCTATTTTGTTTATCAAACATTTAAAATTACTGTTTCGTTTGTTTGTTTATTATTTCATAGTTCATTAACTCATATCATTTGGTATTGTTAATTTTCAACCGGTCAACTCATATTCAGTGACCAACTTCACGTTTGCTCAGTCCTTAATGCTGACCAAATTCCATCGATTGAGTTGAAATGTGGCTAGACTGTGTTGAAATGTTAGGTGGTTGAAGCAAATCGACAGGACGTCCTGAACATGAATTTCGTGCTATTTGGCACTCATCAGTAGGATGTGCTAGTTATCATATCGCAATCTGATCGATAAATTTCAATTAGCATTAAGAACTAGACAAACATGACATTGTTCATTATTGAGTGATCAATAAATGTGAATATGTCGACCCTAAAGGACAACAGTCATGGCCCGAATAACTCATTGATAACATCTCAAATTGTGAAGCTAAGTGATGTGTGTTCGAATCCATCAGGAAAGATCACT